AGGATTTATATTTAAATGCAAATTTTTATTTGAACAAGATTTTTAAAATTTGAAAAAAAAATGTTTTCGATTTAAATCATTCTTTTAAAATGATACAAAATTTAATATACATGTTTTGTTATAGTTACAATCATTGTTAACTGTTACATATTTTAACATATTTTATAATTTCATCATTCATACGTTTTCAAGTCACATTGCGGTCAACGAAAAAAGCCATTTTTGATTATATTGTCATGATTTATCATATATTTTCAGTCATTATCTTGCTTAGGCTTTCTGGTTCTTTTTCCATACAGTGTAATGTATCTATAGTAAGTTCTAATAATGTATTAAATATATTATTTGCATATATTTGTATATGCAGTATTTGTATATATTGTAAAACTAGTTGACAATCAATACGCTTAATATGTATATAGCTGTTTGAAAAATCACAAATGGCTTTTCTATCGACAAATGAATTTTCATGTTCTCTAAGTCGTTCTTTAGTATGTTGCCAATCACTAAAACCCTCTTTACACAACAGCGTGTTATTCGGTAAATAATCTGGTAAATCTGGGCTTAATATTTCATTATTATTAATAATATCGATCAAACATACTTACCTCAGTTTTAACAGTCGCATTATTATCAATGGCACATTTTTAATTTTTTTTATATATGCATCATATTTCAGAACGATGCTAAAATATGCATAATAATTTGAAATATTCCAAATATGCAAAAATATGCCAAATCATCTAAATGTCTACTTTTTGTTGCCTTTTTTTTTTTCTTAAACTCTGATATTCAATATTGTTTTTTAAAAGTTCTATAGATTTGATTTCATGATAATCAAAGTGTTCGCGAACATACTCGTACTGTATGAAATCTATTAAGGAGTTGTACAAGGGTACTATTGAAGATCATTCTATCTATCATTAAAATTATGGTTTCACGAACTGTGTATAATGAAATATAATTTGTTTTACCACTACCAACATTGCCATAATTATTGATTATTCTTTTAAAAATTGATCAAACTTTGCTATTAACTCCATAATACCCAAAAAAATTCCATTAAGCTTTGCCAAAATTACCGGTGGACATATTGAAATATCATTGGAGAATCGTGCAAAATTGTTTGGTGGTAAATCTGGGCTTAATATTTCATTATTATTAATAATATCGATCAAACATACTTACCTCAGTTTTAACAGTCGCATTATTATCAATGGCACATTTTTCATTGGAATACCTAATTAATACCTACTAACTTTTTTACCAATTTACAGTTTACTTTTACATTACAGTACATTAATAGCTATTGGAATATAAAAACAGCATACTTAACAAAACTTTTTAAACACCCATCAATATAATTATTTAATCATCATATTTGTATGGTTGCATATTTTGAGTTCAAAGCGTAATAATGAAACAACGAATATATTACACGTCATCAATAATACAACAATTTTCTTTTTTCTTTTTTTTGGCCCTGGAGGGGGGTTTGAATCCGGGAACCCCCCCCCCACCTATGTATGACACTGATTTCATATACAACCTATAATATATTATGGGCAGTATTTTTTTTTTATTCAAAGGGTGGTTTCTTTTATCGTGTATATAATTAATTAATTTAAATAAAATACCTGTTGCGATGTTTGAACAATCTATAAATAAGTTAAATAGATTAATAATAAAATAAAATATTAGCACAAGGTACAGTATGAAGCTATACATTACAGTTATGGTTACATATGCTTTCAAAAATAAACTCTTCTACTTTTATTTTGACTGAAGTCTTCAATCAAATGCTCAAAAGATGTAACAAAAGCGTTATCACCTTATAGTACAAATAAAAGTTACCATTTTCATTATTTTCTTATCGGTAAAAAATGTTTGGTTTAAGAATTATTTAGAAAATTGTGACTAAGTGGTCTCAAGAAGTACAAATTCATTATAAAAATATTTTAAATTCTGAGTGAAGCGAAGGATCTTATGGTTTTACATTTATGTTAATTATTTTATTTTTTTTCTGTAAATCATTACGCGCTATCGGCGTGGGGAATAGTAAGTTCCTACACGGTTAACACCAGGTACGTATGTTAGTTTCTACACGGTGGAAAAATTAAATATGTATTTACAAATCTTTAAAAAAATCTTAAAAAAAAACAATGCATAAAAGCCACTTTTATGCATTGTTTTTTTTTAAGATATAATATATATATATATATATATAGAGTATAGTATATTAGATTATCTGAAAAACTTATACGAAATTACGGGAAAATACAACAAGCTACAGGCTGATAATAGTATCCCGACTCGACGTAGGAAAGTTAAAATATCTTATTATTACAAATATAAATGATACAGAACTTGATTTTGGTTTGATAATCCTATTATTTGTTATAACTAGGCTTAGGGACTTATAGCTCTAAAAAATACACAAACATGCTTCTAAAATCATTATAATATGCATTTGTATGTATTAAAAAAAAAATTACCACATAAAACAGAAAACAAAACGTGTCCATCGGATGTAAATGTATCTTTAAACTCCGAAACAAAACTTTGTAGTCGGCTAATCGTAGACTCTTGTACTTTCGGCATTACACAATGTTATAAAATACGTACGACGTTTTATGTATGATTCGACGTTGCGTGGTTGCGAGACGCAAAAATAACGACGGATTATAATCGACTGAACTGAAGGCCCCTCCCTGCAAACCCTATCAATTTTTCATCAAAAAGACCTACGGGACTGAAAGAAATTTAAGTACTTCTAATTGTCCGTTTTCAATTTTTTCAATTACTTCTCCGAGTGAAATGTTACCTTCAGTTAGTACTGTCGACAATACGGTTAGTCATGATAACAATATTTTGTAAGTGAATATATTATTCCATTAGTGTAGTTGGTTCTTTGCTTAAATTCTGAGTGCGGTGAGGATCAATGGATTTTTTTTTTCACTGTAATTTAAAAAGAAATAACTATGGACATTTGAAACTTTCCAATTACTAGGCACTTAAAATTAAAAAAGTTTTAAATGTAATTAAATATAAATAAATTAACAATTTTTTTTAAAAACTCGAACTACATACAATTAATTACAATTAATTAATTACAATTACAGCCTACTTCGCTCAGAACCATTTATTTTTTTATGGTACAAAATTATTTGAATAATAATTTAATGTTAATTTAAAAAATTATTATTATAATTAATTAGTAATCTACTAATACAATAATTTCTGAACACGGAAATTCAAGTTTGGAATATAGTTAATCAAGTAATAACAGCAATTCGTTCTCAATTCACGAGTTAGTATATATTCGTTTATTATTTACAATTATTTTACATAAAACATTATATTTATAATATTATTTATTTATTTTTATACTACCGCCCAGTTACCCGCTTGTTGGGACTACTCCCGGTACAGGGCCTCGATGTCGGCGAGAATGTCGTCATCCCCGTCCTCCATAGGTTCGTGAGGCACGAACGTTGGGAGGTGGCTCAGCCGAGCATCCTCACCGGTGGTCGGGGTCCCATCCCGGGCAGTTGTAACCACTGGATTTTCCGGCTGCTTTTTGCGGTACGGCAACCGGATGCCGGGTCCGGTGATGGCAGCGGTCGGCGGCCGGACCCG